CAGCTGGCAACTCGCTCTCCCTCCTCCCTCCCCCTCCGTTCCTGCTGACAGCCACCCGGGGTGGGGCTCAGCTGCATCAGCCCCTATCATGCTACAAATTAGCCCTAAGGAACAGAAGTTTCCTAAGGCACTCTAAAGTGGAACACCTTCATCTGATACCTCATTTGATGAGGGTTAATTTGTTGTGTGATCAGCCACTTTAAAAGTACTCTGCATCTGTGCACGTATGTCATGGCACAGCTGTAGAGTACTTTCAGGGGGCCAACTGTGTGACCCTTGTGACTGAGTCACTAGACTGGGTCCAGTCTCTCTGAACCTGGCTTCCCAGCTCTGCCAAAGATTCTCTGTGGGCTGTTGGGACACCTCTTTCTCCCCTCTGTAAATCTTTCCCAAGTCTGCAAAGTAGTGATTTTCTCCAAACTTTGAGTCTAAGTTAATTAAAATGCAGGCTTTTTGGGGCACTGTTTAGGTTTTTTTGTTTTCCTATGTCCATATGGCCATAGCACAATGAAGCCCTGATCTTGGCTGGAAAATAGAAAGGAATGTCTCTAATTCTTTTAGTGACAGATATATTTTACGCATGAGAAAAAAAGAAAACCAGGAACAGGAAATTCTGTGCTTTTCTAGATAATAACAGCAGCTTTTAACAAATCCTTTTGCAAATAATTAGGAAACAGTCATAAAAACACAGAGCCCAGTTGCATAACAAGACTCCAAAAGAAACAGCATCTATCCTACCTAATTTCTGTACCATGAGAGTCAGATTGATCACTTTAGGGTAGCCATATGTCAGTAGTGTCTCACTGTTATGCAAACTTTGGCAAAAAAATTCATTTCTCTGGCCAATGTACTGAGAGTTAACTGTGTATGCAACTGTTGTTTGTCCAGCTGTAACTCGTACATGTCTTTCTTGAGTGGAATTTGTTCCTTGAAGGGACATAACCATCTGAAACAAGACAAGTATTTCAAAGGTGTGTTCAAAAATAACATCCTAGCCAGTTACATACAGCAAGCAGAAGGAAGAGTTAACTTTTATATAAAATTTTTAGAAATCTACCTGTAGACAGCAGAGTTTTAACCTATTCATTCTTTATAGCCATTTCTAGTGCCAAATCTATCCCACTAAATGAACATCAACATAACATAAATCATTTTTTTGGCAAAAGTTCCTTGAATTATACATTATCCCTTAACAAGATGAAAATGTCTCAGATTTAGATAATAAATGTATTTAGAATACAGGAAGATTTTTGTCACAATTATTCCATCAAGAGAACATATAAAGAAATACATGCAAAATTCATAATGGGAGATGCACCTTATTTTCTTATGCAATGCACTCACATTATATTTCTTTGGGCATTTTGCTATGTTTTAAATACTCAGTAATCATTTGTAGTGGACTATCAGTGACCAAACAGGAACAACCAAATTCAGAAAAAGTCAATTAATTAATCCTAAAAGCTTGTGTGTGTCATACTTTTCTCTGCCATAGATTGGGAGTTTGATCATAAGGATCAAATTTCTGTTCTGTATTTATACAGCACCTAGTACAAGAACAGCTCCCTCTGGTGGTGCAGTTCCAATTAGAAATAATCCTAATAATAAATTTGTTTAAAAATCAAAGGTACCTGGATATATGTTGGGATTCCAGACTGTTGCAGCCATGGCCAGCTGTTCTGGAAATTCCCAGTTAAGTCAGTTCTCCTTGGAGTCTTCTGGATTTGTCCTTCCAGAGCCATCCAGCAAGAACCATATTGTATTTTGATACTCAAGCTCTTGATCTCTTTCAGGTCAAGTGTAACCTGTAGGCAATAATATCATTGACTTTGTTTCGTAAAGGAAACATATCCTCTTTCTTCTTATTTTCTGCTCTGCTATTATGAATCCCTTGTTTGTATTGTAGAATCTCTCTTCTACCCTCTTATCAGCTCTTTCTGTTTGTGAGATCTGTAGGCATCGTGTCAAGAGTATGCTGAGGGGTTTTTTTCCTTCTAAGAACAACTATAAGCATCATCACTCAGTATCTGCCAGAATTTTCTGTTTCAAAAACCTTCTAGGCCCATTACTTTTTGGAAACAGAATGACTGTTGTTTTTAGCAAAATTCTCTGATGCAGGCAAGAGGGTTTCAAAAACTTCAGTTCACAGTTCATTCAGATGGAATGTAAAAATGAAGGCTCATATGATGCTTGGTGCTTCAGCAATACTCCAGTTTGAGTAGTTACATTTTAGGTATCTCAGTGATCCAAGTCCTGGTCAGCTCCCCCTGTTTCTTTGTTCAATGTCAATTATACAGACTACAGCACACCCATTTACTCTGTACTAGTCTTGCATTTGCTTTCAGGTCAGTTCAAGGGGTTGTTGATTCTAATCTATAAAACCTTATCAGGTTTGGGTCCTTACTACGTAGAAGCTTCCCTCTATTCTTGTGCATCAATAAGTGAATGCAGCTGATGCATTCTTGCTTTGAATTGCTGATTGCCTTTGTAAGGAGACAGTGGTAGGTCTTAACTTTAATCCATATTTGCTAAATCTCAGGATGCAAGGCACAGCCTGTCTTCCATGTAGCGATTCCTCTCTTTCTGTCAATCCTTTCAACTTAATTAATAGAATCAGCATTGAAATTAAGAGTTGGCCTTCACTTTCTAACCTAAAATGTTGTGTTGCTACCTGAAACTTGCAACATTGTGCCCCATATCTTAGTAGTGTATGATTGTGTATAAAAAGCGATGAGCTTTAAGATGAAAGGTGCCGTGTATAAGTAGTAACATTCAACAGAACTGCATTACCAACAGAACTGGTGAGACTGTAAAAGCCAGTTAGAATTACTGGTCATTAATCAACTCATCAGA